CTGATTATTTTGACAAGGTACCCGCTAAACATGAAACATACTTGAAACGTTTCATATTTGCAGAAGTCATGCGATAATGCAATGTAAAGCACAAATGTTTCAGAAACGTTTGTGAAAGCTTCCTTGGCTCCAGTGCCCAATCATTGGCGCAGGCGCCGCCGACTAGCAGCACCCGCGTCGAACTCAATGTAGATTTAAGACAGTGTTGCCGGATATAAATAATCTTCTGTAATTTGCGGAATGTTAACCTTAAACAAAGGCAACATTTTAAATACATAATAGAAATACTATATTTTCAAGACTGATGCACCTGTTGAAAAATTATGAATAAGCGAAAATCACTTGATACAGGTGGATGTTCTAGCCAGCAAGCGGAATTTTTTAGTTTATTTCACGAATACGGTCGAACGTTTTGCTGGAACGCTATTGGCAACACTGCACAATAGGAGGCCATTTGCATTTTGCATTTGCCTTTGGGGGTTTTGTTGACACGCTGTTTGGCCCGTTTGTTTTTGTTTTTGTTTTCTCATTCTGTGATTGTGAATTTGCAATTATTTGTGACCAAAAAATGTCGGAGTGTGAAACAAGTGATGTGGATAATACCAGAGCTGGGCAAAGCCCTCAGTAAAAGGGCTTGAAGCACTAAGCCCTAAGCCCTCTATCAAAGTGCTTCAATTTCAAGCACAAATTCCTTTTCATTTTTAAAAGTGCTTCACAAGCACAAAGCCCTCAAAGTGCTTTGGGCTTGACAAGCACAAAGCCCTCAAAGTGATTTGAAAAGTGCTTGAAGCACATCAAAAGTGCTTGAGGTGCCTTGAAAAGGGCTTCAAGCTCTTTAAATGTGCTTCAAGCTCTTTAAATGTACTTGAAGCTCTTTAAATGTGCCTAAAGCACTTTGAATTTGTAATAAAATTCTCAAAGTGGCATAAGCTACCGCGTAAACTCATCACACAGAATTGGTATAGTAGAGACGAACTTTACATTTCACAGAGTAGCAGTAGTATGTTTTTTTTTGAGATGTAGTTCTGGGGTAGGTACTTGGGGTACTACATGGTACTTCAATTTTAAGGTTTTCAAAATGTTCAATAGGGAAAAGTGGAAAAAATCCAGTGATAAAGTTAAATAGGGTACCAATATAAATTAATTATTTATTTTAATAATAAGTTCATTCATTTTTTTTTTAAATTCCATTCTAAGCTCGAACCCAAAACCTCCATTGTTAAGAGAGAAAAGACATAAGACGGTTCAAGTTCAAATAAAAGAAAAAAAAATTAAGGGACAAAACACGATCGAAAATTTTTAAGTGGGAGGTTGAATGATGGTCAATTCAAATTCCTTTCAAAGTGCTTCAAGCCCTTTTAAAGTGCTTCAAGCCCTTTTAAAGTGCTTCAAGCCCTTTCAAAGTGCTTCAAGCTCCCAAAAGTGCTTCAAGCCCTCTAAAAGTAATTGAAGCTCATTGAAAGGGCTTGAATTACTTTTTTCAATTACAAATTACCAAGCACTTTTCTAAAGTAATTGACTTTGCAAGCCCCAATTACAAATCTATAAAAGGGCTTGAAGCACAGGGCTTTCAAGCCCTCAAAGTGCTTCAAGCACTTTCGCAAGCACAAAGCACTCAAGCCCTGCCCAGCTCTGGATAATACCCAAAATACTACAGGGAATTTGGTAAGTACCAAAAGTATAAGTAAGTAAATAGTTGCCAATTCTGCGTTTTCTGATTTTCCCTCCATTTTTTCACAGCATAAAAGAACTTTAACGCTTTTATCCTTCTTTGTTCGTAGTATTAATCAGTAGTGAGTGAGTAGGACTGTAGATATTCTTGCGAATATTTTTGTAAATAAAAAGTTTTTTCTCTCGGTTTTTCCACTATTTTGTGCTCGATTTTGTGTAATAATATGGGCCGAACAAAGCGGAATTTTATATCTAAAAGACATCTTCGCCGTCTTGTTAGTAAGGAATTGAAAAACGAATTGAGCAAGTGTCAAAATCCAACATGGCAATTATTGTCAGAAGCGACTCCTGAGAATCCTGTCAGTCATGGGCCTTCAAGTTCAAGTCAACCTGTAGAATCTCAATTAGGAAATAATGCAGTACTCAGATTAGAAAAAAGCCCAATAAGTTTAAGTTATTCTAGTAATTTTGTTCCAATTTTGCCAGAGGCTTTAGAAACAAATGGAGATAGTGATGATGTCCAGTTTGTGAATGCTTTGCGAGAGTGGTTTTTAAAGTATAGGCATTTACTAAGCCAAAGTGCCATAAACGATCTTCTTTCAGTCTTGAAACCAAAATGCAAAATTTTGCCGAGTGATAGTAGAACATTCTTAAACACTCCACAAACTTGTCAGTTTCCAATATCTATAATAGCACCTGGGAAATATTGTCACTTTGGGTTAAAGTACATGTTGGAAAAGGCATTAAGTAGCCACTATGGAACAGGCTTTCGTCAACAGGCAACAAGCCTTGATATATCCCTTAGCATTAATATTGATGGCTTGCCTTTAACAAGGAGTTCAACGAGTCAGTTCTGGCCTATTTTAGTGAGTATTGATAATGAAAATATCAGTACAGGGAGGCCATTTCCGGTTGGGGTTTATCATGGTTTTAAAAAACCATCTTCAGCTTCTGAATACCTCAGTACTTTTTTGGCTGAATTCAAACAACTAACAAATGGGTTTAATTTTCAAAATGTGGTTGTGAAACCCAAAATTTCCAAAATAATTTGTGATGCACCAGCTAAATCATTTATTTTGAATGTTAAGAGCTTTACTGGGTATTTTGGATGTACTAAGTGTAATGAAGAAGGTGAATACATCAAAGGAAGAATTACTTTTCCAGGACTGTCATCACCCTTACGTACAGATGAGGACTTCAGGAATAAAACTTGTGAGGATTATCATAAAGGAGAAAGTCCTTTTGAAGAGTTGTCCTTAGGTTTAGTGTCACAAGTACCTCTAGATTACATGCACCTGGTGTGTTTAGGTGTTGTGAAAAGGCTAATTGTTTTTTGGGTGAAAGGTGATAAGAGTGTTCGGATTCCTGAAGAAAAATTGAAACATATAAATACAAATTTACAGTTTTTAAGGTCAAGTACTCCAAAGGAATTTTCTCGTTTGCCGAGGAGTTTGGCCGACGTTGAACATTTTAAAGCCACTGAATTTAGACAATTTTTGCTGTACACTGGACCAATTGTTTTGAAAGATTCTTTAAATAAAATTCAGTATTTACATTTCATGTGTTTGCACGTTGCAATTAGAATTTTGTGTAGTGAAAATTTATACATTGTTGATAATAATTATGCCTCTGAACTTTTAAAATTTTTTATTAAAAAATTTTCAGTAATTTATGGTGCTGAATATGTAACTCATAATGTTCATGGACTACTGCACTTACCTTTGGACTGCATTGAACATGGAGTTCTTGACAGTTTCAGCTCTTTTCAATTTGAAAATTATCTGTTCAGTCTAAAACAGATTATGAAAACATCCAAGCACCCCTTACAACAATTATGTAATCGCTTTAAAGAACAAGAATCCAAATTATTGTCTATTAAGAGAGATGTATTTCCCAAGGTCCACCAAGAGATTGAATCAAACTTAATACCTGGCCTTAGTAGCCTTACCAGTAATTGTTCTTTTTTCAAGAAATTGCAGTTAGAACATTATGAGTTTTGTACAGATTCAAAGAATAATTGTGCCATATTGAGCGATGGAAGCTATTTGTTTATCAATAACATTTATGTACATAATTTTACAAAAGGAATATTTGTATCTGGAATGAAGGCACAAAATATCAAACCCCTTTATAATAATCCATGTTCCTCCTCAATTTTTAATATGAACATAGCTACCAACATTTCAGTTATATCAGAAAACTGTGATTTATCTAGAATAAAAGGAAAATGTATGTATAGTTTAACTCCAAATGGCATTATAATTATTCCCTTAGTGCATTGTTGATTGTTGGCTCATTCGAGCATACCTTTTTAAAACCGAGGGGTAAACTGTGACGCAAAAATCTGTACACTCATTGGCCATTTGCTATTAATTGTCACATGTCACATTGGACCTTTTGGTCCAATAGTTTCCTTGAATTGTACCTTTTTCAAAATGTAAGCATAATATGTATAATTTATCTCAAAGTTGCCCTTAATTGTTAGTAATTGGTCCTTCATCGGACTTCAATTTGGCCCTGCAGAATTCCATAATTTTCCCTATTTGTCTATAATTTGCTCTCAAATAATTGCCATTGTCTCTCCATTGGCCTGTATTGGTCCAAGGTTTTGGCCTCACAGTTTATATATCCCTTGATGTAAGCCCAATAATAAAATAAGTTTTCCTTATTTAATTTAAATACATAGATTAGAAGTGCATAACCGTATTCTGTTTGATAAGTTTATAATTAATCTAAGTTAATTTGTATGTAATAAGTAGTTGTTTAAGTTATTTTTTTTAAGGAATGGTCTGTAGTGAAATTTTTTTCTGATGAAAGAATATCACATGTTCCTACAACATGGCTATCCAATTATAACAAGAAAATAAATACAGCCCTCTGCTATTGGCCTACAAAAAATGCCGGTAGGTATATTATGGTGCAATCAGTTCCAGATTCCAGTAGTTGGATACAACTAAAAGTGGAAGTTCTAAAACAGACTGGTTAGTTTTTCTATAGTAATTTTTTTTACTTCCAAGGTATTTAAACAAAAAAGCTTATCAACTTTGTCAAAAATTTATTGAAAACATTTTACCATCTTTTGTCCTATTGTGATCTGCTGTTGTAGATTCATATGCAATGGCAAGGGAATATCTGAGGCTACTGTCAGAAGGTGAAAGCGCACCTGAAACCTTTCTGGTTAAACCTTTAGGAAAAGGCCATAGGAAACGCAAGAGACCTACAAACTTTGATGATTCAAAAGATAGTGAAGATAGTGAGCTGGATGATGAAATTTCAGGATTAATGACACCACCGCCATCGATGGTTGTTGAACCAGTACCAAAGTCACTGAATGCAGTGCCAAAGTCACTGAAAACAGTGCCAACGTCACTAGAGCTCATACCAAGACCATCATTGGAGCCCGCTTCAATGAGAAGCAAAATTAATGTCCAATTAAATAAAAGTAAGAAATAACAAATTTTTCTAACAAAATTATTTATTTTTTACCACCTAATAAACACTTTTTTAGGTACCCTTATTCGTCGAACCCTTTCTACTACTGAAGTGACGGCAGAGACTATTATTACCAATTCCGTTACACCATCGGTAGTTGATAATGGTATGTAATAAGTCTTCCAGAATAGCAAATATTACATGATAATTAATTATTTAATTTCAGAAAACGAAAGAGCCTCACAAAACGGGAAGTGTAATAATTGCTGTGGTGGTCATAATATTGAAGGTAAGTTCTTGAAAAAAAAAACTTTACTTAATAAACTAAATTAGTTTTTCTTGTTTATTTTGAAAATTGTTGTTTTGACAGGCCGTTTCTAATTTCCTTTCTACAAATTATTAAAACAAAATGATCTGCATCACTCTATCTGTTATGCTTTTTTTGAAATTTCTAGAATCCAAAATCTTGAAATCAATTTTGAGCAATGTAATTGCTGTGAAAAAAATGTTGGAATATCAAGAAAAAGAAAACCAAAGGACTCTAAATAACAAACACAATGAAACTGTTGTGACAAATTTTGATTTGGTTCTGGGAAAAGCGTTCTCAAAATTTAGAAAACTGCAAAAGTTTGATGAAAAACTACGGACTGACGAGAACGCACGTTGTCAAAATGTGAGTATTTAATAAATATATAATTAATTTATGGTTTTTAAAGAATATATCATTATTTTTTATAATTTTTTAACAATTTTTATCCAAACGTTTTTTTTTTATCATACCAAATTTATATGACATTCTTTGTTTATTCTTTTAGGAAGCTGCTTTGTTTTTACTTGGAGGTGCCACCCCAAAGGAACTGATAAGAAGGGGCTTAAAAAATATTTTTTCTGATAAATTAGCTATGAAGTGTAGCTGGACTGGAAGGAAGAACAATTTTGTCTTAAGCCAGCTCAAAATTCTGGATATCCTGAAGGTGGCAGTACGGAGAAAATTTGGTGCCTTCACAGACTCTGAATTTCAGTCAGAGCTGGGTCTCTGGTTTCGACAGGCAAAACTCAGATTTGACAGGTCCAGACAAAAAGAAAGACAGGTATGTTTACAATTATCATTTAAGTAGGTAATTAGACAATAGCTCTTTTAGGAGTAGTCAAGTTTTTTCATCACAAAGTTCTATAATATTTCTATACTAAATTAAAATTTTAAGCACATTAAAGTAAAACTTATAAAATTATAAAACTCGGTGAATTAACTTTTATAGCTTTAATCAGATTCCTAATTAGGTATTTGTCTCTTTTTGTAGGATGAAAACATTAATGAAGATTTACAGTAATGCGGGATTTACCTAAATGTGGTGATATATCTGTGCATAATATAATCGTTAGTATATACCTAAGTATTTAAAATACAGAAATTTCTTTTAAGTTTTTTTTTGTCGCCTCAGAAGGAGTGTTATGTTATAATATGATTTATTGAGAAGTTATACGTTTTTTCAAGTTTTTTTTTGTGTTTGTATCTTTTGAGAAATAATCAAATAAAAGGTGTTATTTTTATATTATCTTGCAGTTTTATTTGAAACATTTTAAAATGCTTCAAAAGCATTAATATGAAAAAGACATTTCGCAATGTTTCAGAAACATTAATATGTTACATTACAAAAAAAACATTTTGCAATGTTTCATAGGTATTTCAATAAAAAGTTTCATTTTAGTTCAACAGCAACGTTCCGGAACGTTTCTATTTAATGTTTCATGAAACATTTCTGAGGTAGGACATTTGAAGTTACATAAACGTTTCCGAAACATATATCTGCAGTTCCGAAGAATGTTTCAAGCGAAAAAGATATGTTTCTGAAACATCTCTGAAACGAAAAATTGTTTACAGGGTATAAGTGTCACTTCAATGACTTTCAGTTTGAGTGGCGTATAAAGCCTAGTACTCATAGCTGCGAAATTCGCACTTTTTTGACATTGTTTCGATAATTTGACGTTTTATGCGTGAATCAAACGTCAAATTGTCGAAGCAATGTCAAAAAAATGCAAAATTCGCAGTTATGAGTATTAGGCTTTAGTATTATACTCCATCGGAGTATAACACTTATACCTCAGGGATGCGATTTCTAGTACTTTTTAATGAACTAGTTCAGTAGCACTGAATCCTCAAAATGTACTAGTACAATGTAATAATTCTTTAGTACATCTACGGAAAAGGGAAACAAGGGAGAAAAATGCAAAAAATAGATATAGAAACTTTATTTAGTATTCAACAAAAATAAAATGAATGATTTATTTGCTAAAAGTTACATAGGTATACTATTTAGCATTTAGGAACTAAAAAAATGCAGCCTTGATTTCCTGATATTACATTACACTTATGTGTTTTTGGTTATCCGAGTTATAAAAACTGTGTTCCGTTTGTGCTTTTGGTTAAACCTGTTGGTTAAGTAGGTTTCTCCACATTCCGTGCTCATAGTTTTTTGTTTTACATCTGTTTTAAACTTGTTTATTATAATTTTTTCTATATATGACGATGAAAAAAATGTATTATAATATTATGGGACTCTAATGTTATGGTACATATAGTACATTTAAATGATCAATACAATTGTACTAGTTCGTTCATGTACTACACATCCCTAACTCGTAATCCAAATTGTACTAGATTTATGAAAGAGGTACTAGCGTACTAGGTGAAACGTATGATTGTACTAGATCTAGTACAATTGTACTAGAAATAGCATCCCTGGGTGTTATTTTCAATATTGAAGTTAAATGGTAATGGTATTCAATTTCACATTAGTTGGTTATTCTTTCTTTTAATAAATATTAATATTATAACAACAAAACAAATAGCTATCACTTTATCTAGTGCTTTATTTCATACTGCTTTGATAGTAGAGTCAAAAAGTGCTAATAGAGTAGGTAACTTACTTAAACCAAAGAATATTATAGACTAACGTCTCTAGAAGTCTCGTCCGTATTCTGATTTTTGATACCTCGATGGACGCCGGCTTTTGCCGGTGTGGACGCTGGCTCGAGTCTATTGCCCACTGTTGCCGAGTTGTCAGTGCTGTTGATTCAGCGTCCAGCCAGCGAGCCAGCATCCGTGTCTGCTTCTCTGAATGAAGTTATTAAAGTGAAATATTTGCTTTGCGTGCATAGGGAGACAGACGCGTGCCAAAAGGAATTAGGAAGTTAAGCATATATTTTCTAACATATTTGATAATTTACCAACGAATATCATAGATGGATGCTATTCTATCATTTTCTTTAGGTTTTTTTTTCAGTATATTTGGCAAATTTGCCACTTAGAAATTTATGTTTAATTTCGAATTATGAATTATTTATTTATTTTCCAGTAGATCGGTTTATTTACCAACAAAAGTATGTTTTTTTTAAAGATAATTATTCCCCAAGTCAAAAATTCAATAACTATGTTGGCAACACAAGCCTTTTCTACATAAAAAATTTGAAAGCATTGACAATTTTACATTGCATTGCCAACTCAATGTCATTTTGACTTTTATCTTTAAAAAAAAAAACTTTTTCTACAAACGTGTCAAAAATGCAATTTTTAACACCCCCCGTAGCATTAAACATGTTACTTTATCGCACTAGTGCCATAAAGTCTTTATAGCACTAGTGTTAAAAATGAAACATCAAATTTTGAGAGCGAACGTCAAAAATGTTTGTATTTTTAGTTATTTACATTGATATTAATGGTAAAATTGGAACAACTGAGTTAGCCCGATTGGCCGCCTCATTCTATATTTTTCAAGGGATCGATGCAATCTTCTCTTTCTTCTGTATTTTGTTGCATTTCTAGCAAAAATAATTACTGACCACGACATACTTTCAAGAAACTGACAAGACATTTCATTACCTGTAAAACAAGGTGCTGGTTGTTTGGATTTTTTGATAAATGTCAAATTTAATAATTTTATATAGGAAAGATGCTTCCAATTTATTATTCATTGAAAAATCCAATTTGATGACGTCATAATTTAGAAATCTTAGATTTTACTATCACTTTTCCGCGATTGTAAACCCACTTTTCCGCAAATATTACCTCATTTTTTCGCGATTCTTATCTCACTTTTTCACAAATTCACACTCATTTTTTTTGTGATTTTTGACCCACTTTTTTGCAATTTTGTTTTCACTTTTTTGCGATTTTTGGCTCTCACTCCTCGGCGATTACAAACTTATTTTTCTGCTATTTCATCTTCATTTTCCCGCGATTGTTCCCCTACTTTCCGCGATTTTATCTCCACTTTTCCACTAATTTGACCTCACTTTTTTTGTGATTTTTGAAAAGTATTTTTTTTTCGATTTTTGACTCATTTTTTTGCAATTTTACCATCACTTACCGCAATTCTAAATCCACTTTTTCACGATTGTAAACCGACTTTTCTGTAAATATAATCTCATTTTTCCGCGATTCTTGTCTCACTTTTTTTTGCGATGTTATCCTCACTTTTCCGCGATTCATATTTCATTCTCCGCGATTTTATCCTTACTTTTCGTGACTTTATCCTCATTTTTCCGTGAGTCTCATCTTACTTTTCCGCGAGTTTAAATTCACTCTTTTTGAAATTTTTGACTCATATTTTTCTTGCGATTTTTGACTCTTTTTTTTGTGATTTTATCATCACTTTCCACGATTTTATCCTCATTTTTCCTCATTTCAAAATTACGAAAATAACGATAATTTTTGAAAAGTTACGAAAAATTACGTAAAATATGAAAAATTAGAGAGAGTTGCAAACATTTACGAGAATTACGGAACATTATGAGAATCACGGAATAACAAAAAATTGCGGAAATTACAAAAATTATGGGAATTGCTTAATATTACGCAAAAGAATTACGAAGTCACTCCAAAATTACGTCAATTATTTAAATATTACTAATTTTTGAAAAGTTACGAAAACTAACAAGACAAATTACGGGAATTACGAAAAATAATGGGAATTTTAAAAATTTACGGAACCTAGTAAAATGACGGAAATGACGAAAATTTGCGGGAATTATGAGAAATTATGAAAATTACGAGAATTGAGAAAAATACAAAAAACTACGAAAATTACAAAAATTACGGGTATTACGAAATATTACGGAAAAGAATTACAAAGTCATTTCAAAATTACGTGAATTACGGTAATTCCCAAAATAACGGAAATCACAATTTTTTGAAATTACGAAAATTACAATAACTTAGGGAGAATTAGAAAATTCCCAATTTTTTTTGGAAATTAGGAAAATTGAAAATTAAAATAATTACTGGAAAAAGCGCGAAAAATTACGGGAATAACGAAAATTACCAAGTTTTCCAAAAATTGAAAAAAATAACGGGAAATTAGAAAATAACAAGAATTATCTCAGAAATAACACGAATTAAAAAATTTCGAAAATCCCCAAAAAAAAATACGGAAATTACCAATTTTCGAAAATTTCAAAAACTTAAAGAAAATTATAAAACTAACGAAATTTTTTTGAGAAATTACGGAAATTAAAAAATTACGAAAATATGTAATGGGAATTACGAAAATTTCGAGTTTTTCGAAAATTGTAAAACTAAGGGGTTATTAGGAAAATAACGAGAATTATCTGAGAAATGACAGGAATTACAAGATTTCGAAAATTCCCAAAATAAAATACGAAAATTACGAGACTTATATAATTTCAAAATTATGAAAATAACGGAGTTTTCTGAGAAATTACAGGAATTAAAAAATTACGGAAATCTGAAAACTACAGGAATTATTCAAAAATTATGAAAAATACGAAAAAATCACGAGAATTTAAAAAAATTGTGACAATTTTCAAAAAATTACGAAAATAACAAGAATTACAAAAAGTTACAGGATTCACGAATTTTCCGAAAATTGCAAAAACTAAGGGGGAATTATGAAATTAACGAGAATTTTTTGAAAAATCACGGGAATTTAAGAATTTTCGAAAATTCCAAGAAAAAAAAAATACGGGAATTACCAATTTTTGAGAATCACAACAAACTGGGGGGGAATTATAAAGATAACGGAGTTTTTTTGAGAAATTACGGGAATTACAAAATTACGAAAATTTAAGGAACTACAGGAAATATAAAGGTTGGAAGAGATAAGGAAAAATCATGAGAATTGCGAAAAAATTACGATAATTTTTGGTAAGTTACGGGATTTATGAAAAAGTTACGGGAATTACGAAAATTACGAGTTTTCCAAGAATTGCAATGACTAATGAAGAATTATAGAAATAGGGAGAATTATCTGAGAAATTACGGAAATAATGAAAATTCACAATAAAAAATTTTTGAAAATTACGAGAATTACGAATTTTTGAAAGTAACAAAAACTTAGGGGGAATTATAAAATAAGTAGGTAACTGAATATTTTGAGTTGAGTTTGAATCTTAGAAACAACAGAAATTATTCAAAAATTACGGGAATTTTGGAAAGTTACGAAAAATTAAGAAAATTACGAAAAAGTTATGGGAATTACGAAAATTAGGAATTTTGCAAAAATTGCAAAAACTAAGGAAAAATTATAAAAATAACGAA